TAGGAGGAACTGGATATCTGAGCCTCCTTTCCCATTGGAGCTGGCATCTCAGCCTCTTCCCAGAGGTCTTCCCCCCCCCCCCACCTCTCCTCTCCTCTCCTCTCCTCTCCTCTCCTCTCCTCTCCTCTCTCCTCTCCTCCACCTGCATCTGCTAACTTCAAAGGTCCACCTTTATCAAAGGGTCTGAACTTCGAACTCCCTCCACCAGAGCTCAAAGCCCCTGACAACAGCTCAAGAAGCAGCTCCCACTGACTCTTATGGTCTATTGTGCATTTCATTGCAGGACGGAGGATCTGTGCTGGAGAGACTCTTGCCAAAATGGAGCTCTTCCTCTTCTTCACCGGTCTCCTGCAGAGGTTCACCTTCCACCCTCCACCTGGAGTTGCCATCTCTGACCTGGACCTCTCTCCCTCCATTGGGGCCACTGTGTCCCCAGTGACTCACGAGGTCTGCGCAGTGCCACGTTCCTAGGGCTTTTCTGAGCCATCTCCTTTTCCTGAATCACCCAGACGAAATATCTTTGTCTCTAGTCCCACGTGGGAAGTTTGGTACTTCTGAATCCAGTATGGGATTCTTAGCCCAAGCACACCTTGGCTCATAGCTAGAGGTGTCTCACCCACCATTAGAGCAGGTAGTAGCCCTGACTTCTACCCACTCCTTAAAAGGGAAAGCGATGGTCATTGTGAGGATGAATCCCACGAGGGAGATGGCAAAGGCCGTTTCATTCAAGTCCTTCCCTACGCCTCTGCATGTTCACGTCAATGAAAGAGGCTGGGACCAGCCTCTGGTCCACACCTCAAAGGGTACTGCACTGATCTACACAAACACACACACACAAAACCCCAAGGGCTTTCACCTTCCACATCTTCAGCACAGCTGCATCCATACTGCCTAATGAAAATGGTCCATTACACCATTTATGGCCACACCAGTGCCCTGAATGCACACATACACATGCACAGAAATGTAACTGAACAGCTCAACCTGAGGCAAGGAAACGTAAGATGTTCACCTGATGCAGAACTGCAGTGCAGATACATATGGCTCTCAGGTGATGTCATGATTTTATATGCTGTATGGAAGTTAAAATTAATTAGTGTACTATATAATAATGTATATATTAATGATAATGATAAAAAAACATAAAAATAAAAAATCCTTCTCCATTTCAAATCAAACTGTTGCCAGTGCTGTCTTCAAAGCTGGAAAGATGTTCTTTCACACCTGAAATGGCTTCTGGGGACACACCCTTGCCTGAAACAGACCACCTGTGCTGTGTTCCCAGTGAGAACTGGGCAAACCAGTCCTTCTGTGGCATCTCTTAAGCCTCTCCAATTTCTTTCTCATACAAACCTGCTGTAGCTTTTTATTCACAAGAACAAGTTGTCTTAGTCACAAGAAGTCTTCTTAGACCAGTAAGGCTTTTTACACTGTGCCATGAGATCCTCATAGAGAAGCTGTTGATGTATGGGCTGGATTACCAAACAGTGAGTGGGTTGAAAATTTGCTGAAAAGCCAGGCCCAGAGGTTAGTGATCAGTAGCACGAAGTCCAGCTGGAGGCCAGTAACTAGCAGGGTGCTCCAGGGGTTAGTGCTGAGTCCAGTCCTGTTTAACGTCTTCATTAATGAGCTGTATGATCGGGCAGAATGTACCCTCAGCAAGTTTGCTGATGACACCAAATTGGGAGGTGTGGATGATGCACCAGCAGGTTGTGCCACCATCTAGAGGGACCTCTACAGGTTGGAGAAATTGGCTGACAGGAACCTCAAGAAGTTCAACAAGGAGAAGTACAATGTACTGCGCCTGGGGAGGAACAGGTGCCCCCCAGGCACCAGTACTTGTTGGGGGCTGCCCAGCTGGAAAGCAGCTTGGCAGGAAAGACCTAGGGGTCCTGGTGGACACCAAGTTGAACATGAGGCAACAACGTGCCCTTGCGTCAAAGAAAGCTATTGGTATCCTGCGCTGCATTAGGAGGAGTGCTGTCAGCAAGTCAGGGCAGGTGATCTGTTCCTTTGACTCAGCACCGGTGAGGCCACACCTGTAATGCTGTGTCTAGTTCTGGAATCCCCAGTACAAAAGAGGTATGGACATACTGGAGAGAGTCCAGCAAAGGGCCGTGAATATCATTAAGGGACTGGAGCCTCTCTTCTCTGAGGAAAAGCTAAGAAAGCTGGGACTGTTTAGCCTAGAGAGGAGAAGGCTCAGGGCATCAGCATTTGTACCTTATCAATAGGTACAAAGAAGACAGAGCCAGGCTCTTTTCAGTGGTGCCCAGTGGCAGGACAAGAGGCAAGTGGCACAAACTCAAACACAGGATGTTCCCTCTGAACATCAGGAAAGACTTTCTTACTGTGAGAGTGACCGAGCACTGGCACAAGTTGCCCAGGGAGGTTGTGGATTCTTCCTCCTTGGAGGTATTCAAAAGCTGTCTGGACATAGTCTTGGGCACCTGGTTCTTGGTGGTCCTGCTTGAGCAGGGGGATTGGACCAGATGACCTCCAAAAGTCCTTTCCAACCTTAACCGTTCTGTGATTGTGTGATTTGAAATTCTCAATGAATTCACTGAAACAGAATTATACCAATACCTAAACACTTTAGAAAAAAAATCTCTTCACAACTTGGGCACTGGCATTCTGTTTTCGGTTCTCAGGGCAACAAGGCTGTGCCTGTACTAATGACGACAGCATAACTAATCAGTAACCTGAAGATCACACAGAATGTACAACTTTTATACCAAACACCAGGTTGATGACCTGTGGTTCTCAATGTTCTTGGACTTCCACTCTTGGAGTGAGTCCAGCTCACCCAGTCACACCCACTTGGCTAGCAAGCATTTACCTGCCTCTGAACCGTACCGAAGATTCATTAGCAGGCACAGGGGAAGAGAACAAAACCAGTCACCAATTGCAAGAAAAACATCCCCTTCACTGGGAAAGCGGTTTATGGACTAGTACAAGCATCTCTCAAGGGAAATTTTTGCATAAAGACAGAGATCCAGAGTCCACATTTCCTCTTTTCTCTTCTGCAGCAAATACTTGGCTGAATAGAGATGGACTGGAGCAGCTGCACTTCCATTGGTTTAGTGTTCATCCTGACTTTTCTATCCATTTTGAAAATGGGAGGTTTCTGGAATAACCACCGGATGAAGAATTTTCCCCCAGGACCAAGAGCATTACCTGTCATTGGAAATCTGCATTTGTTTGATTTGAAGAGACCCTACAGGACTTACCTACAGGTAGCCATTACCTTTTCTCTTGGCCACATAATTGCACATATCACCAAGCCCCATAGTCCAGGATGTCCGAGTTTCTTCTATTGCACCCGATGTGTTGCATCCACAGTTAGCAAGAGACAGGAGACGGTTATTTGAGCAGGAAACTGAATGCAGTGATTTGTTATTTACTGTAATATTTTCTCCCTTCACCACAACTTCATGCATCTAGATTTCAGCCTTAAGCAACTCTCAAATTAATAACAAGTGCTCACTTTATTTTTGTGGTATTTTTGTGGTATTTTTGTGAAAAACATAACTGAGTAAGGAGTGATTTTGATGTGTGGTATAACTGCCTCCACTAGTTGACATGTCTGAGGTTGTGACTGCAGCCTCCTGCCTTCATTGATTTAGCAGCCCCTCTCATCTCCCTTTCCTCCTTTCTTCCTGAAAGCTAAAGATAACTATATATTCTTAATATTCAGGGCCAACAGTTGCCAGAATATACAGCAAAGATGTAAGCAGATCAAAGTAATAAATCTTTTGGTTTTCTTCTATTGCTTTTTTTACCTAGTTTATTGTAGGACTTTCTGGATCTTGAGTCAGAAGAGTTCTATGAACATGGACCTTTTCTTAGAGGTTTTTCTCCTTAGACATTGAAAATACATATGTCCTCCTTGCTGATGATTTTAAAAGGGATATTTGCACCTACATATCTGTATGTATGTTACGTCCACAAGCCAAAAGACCACTTAGGTGTAGTACCTGGAAAATCGTCGGTAGCTATCCAGTGCAGCCTAACTGGATTGGCCAAAGCAAGCTCCATCTCTTTTCAGGCCAACAGAACCAGCATGTCGCTGATATAATGCAGTGAATCCATACCAACGGAGGAGGGAGGAGGTTGGCTCACTGACTTGAGCTTAGCTCAAGGTTTAATATTCACAAATCCTTAGTGTGTAAATGCAACTGGAGACCATATGTTCATCCTGAGCATCAACATTGCAAGCACTGGAAAGTGCTTACTGGAGAACACCCTTTGAAAAGATCACAGCCGCAGTAGTCTGGGATAACAGTATCACTATCAAAGAAGCTACTCTTAATTCAGACACGTGTCGCTGCTGCTATGTTATTTCATATAGTTGGACTTGCTTATCAGTTGCTGAACATTATGCATATGGATGCTAAATAGTTGCCTTCTGTTTCTCTGGGCAAACACACCAGAAAATAAGTGTGATCAGGAAAAATCCCTCCTATTGTCAGGAGAATCAGAAACATTGACTTACATGAAAATGAAACTTCCTGTACAAGCTAAAAAGATTCCAGGTTAGGCCAAACATTGTCTCTGAGACAGATTCATGGTGGATGTAGTCATATACAAAAAGTGAAGACTTGCCTAATGCTAAATCCTGTCCCAGAAACACACTAGGTTTTTTACGCAATAGTGGCAGCAAAGCTTTGAACAGGTTTAGTCTATAAAAAAAGAAACACAATTACATATAGTTCAATGTTAAAAGGTGAGTCAAAAATTTAATTTACAGGGGTTCCTGGGGGAAGACAGGGCTGTCAGCAGAATCCTTAACTGACTTGGGGTTTCAGCTGTTAACACTTCTACTCGGTTTAGCACAACGGGACTCCATTCCTGACTGTGCCGTTTAGTCATCATTATGTCTGGCACATTCACATTATTAAATCAATTCTCTTCCTCTGTACTTAGGAAAACATTCAACATTTTAGTAACTTAGAGGCAGGACAGGAAAATGAGCAGCACTGAAAAGCTGCTGAACTTCTTTGTAAGGTGCAAAAGTTGTAAATCGCTGTTATCTTCTTCTGACAGCTGTCAAAAGTATATGGTCCAGTCTTCAGTGTTCAGATGGGGCTGAGAAAAATAGTAGTCATTTCTGGGTATGAGACAGTGAAGGAAGCTCTCGTAAACCAGGCAGATGCATTTGCGGAGAGACCTAAAATCCCAATCTTTGAAGATTTGACCAAAGGAAATGGTAAGTTGGTTTGATTTTTCCTTATCAGCTTGACTTATTCAAAAAGTTTTTTCCTACAGATGAAGCAGAAGCTGGCACATCACTTTGGATCAGACATCACATAAGGCATTGGCGATAAAGAGCAATTTCCTTGACTTTAGTGCATTTATTCAAATTTCAAAGTACTGACAATGTCAACAAAACAACCATAACTCTAACAATGACGACAGCAACAGATAATGGATAGTGTCATGCTCTCAGGCTCTAGAAGAGGGGCGTGCATGCCAGGGAAGGCATTTCTAGCTCTCGTGATACGGTCCTGGACTTGCGTTGTTTTCAGCTTACCATAGAATCTCCTTTTCCTGAAATGAGTATTATATCTCTGCTTCTCATTTCAGCTGGTGAATACTGCTTTTAAAAGCTGAATGTGACAATAGAATGGAGCACATAGAGAACTGGGGATTTATTTTAATAAGGGAAATACTGTATACTGAGCTGGGTTTCCGAATGAGAATTTCACACCTGAAATTCCTTCTAATTTTGCATGAGAGATTCATATTTACATCT